CTTCTGCTCTGGAGTGTAATCGCTTCGCCTATGAGAAAAAGGAGCAGCACATGAACCAAACGAAACACACGCGAATCGAACCGAGACAGTCGAACCGAACGGTTCGGACGGCTTTCATAAATCGTCCCATCCCTAGTCTGTATGAATGTAAATTGTACACAGAACTGAACCTGAACGCGCCAGGTACAACTGAACCGTGCTAACATGAGCAGACCGCCTCATCTCTTTACGGTCAGCCTTGAAACCATGAAATTTCAGATATTCATAAAAATACTAGCTTCCCTACCTACATGATTTCCAGTGATGATTCTGTTTAGCACTGTGATGAACCTCAATCTGCTGGTGTTGTTTCCTGCATTTGTAAGCTCTGATTACACTTTAGTTTGTCGTATCCACTTCCAAAAAGCTGACTCTTAAGTAAATGTACTAAAGGCTGCCTTCTTTGCCTGACTCTCGGCAAACTTCCTGAATGTTTGGGGAGCTGCCATGTTGATTTGCTTGTTTACCTTTAGAGAGCAGTAGTGCCGTAGATCGTCACTAGGAGGCGATGAAGAGTGCTAGCGTTGTGTGTAAATGGTCTTAAGGAACAGAGCTCAGCACTGTTAACTGATTCAAGCTCTGCACAGATCGGTTTTTAGAGTGTAGTGTAAATGGGGCTATATTTCATCAGGACAACTCCATCAAAAAGGTTTTAACCTTAGCTACATGTTATCCACTTTAGAAGCAGGTTGCAAAAAGATATCATGATAACCTGATTTAAGAAAAAGTATTTTCTTTTTGTGATGTAATGTCACTGCCATCCACTAGAGTGCTGTTCATTCTTAAGCGGAGTCTTACTAGTATTTCAAGAGGAGTAAAGCCGGGAGCAGAGGCATGCTAGGGCAGAAACTTTAATTCAGAGTCTGGACCAGGATTATTTTCTCTGTTTAATGTCAACAGGGTACACTATAGCCCCATTTACACTACCCTTTTGAAACCATGATGAAAAAGATCCAAACGCGGTGACCGAGATTACTGTAACTAAACTGGACCGTGCTCGGTCCGAACTCGGCATGGATCCTTTTTGGAGGGTTAGCGTAAATGGGGCATTTGTGATTCTGTTGTCCTGTTGTCACCTAAATGGTGCTTCAGTAAAGGGTAGTGTCATACTCTCTGCTGTGTTTGGTTGTTAAAAAATGGAAGGCATTAGGCAAAACATTTGTAATGTTCTTTGTTAAAAAAGACTATTTCCTCCGGGGTTTGAGGTTATTTATCCACAAAGCGCACCTCCTGTCATGGGAAAGGTAAATGGAGTGAGTAAAGCAAAAAGAAAAGGCAATTTCAAAAAGGATTTGAAAACGCAACTGAAAAAAAAATTTGAATAAGAAATAATCTTTTTAAATGTGGCATTAATTGAGGTATTTGTAATCCGACTAATTAATTTTGGTTTTTAAATCTCCACTTAGAAATAGGATTTGGAAAAACATTTTTAATTTCCAGTATTTAATAATGGATTAATAAGTACAATTTACAATTCATCTTTAATAATTCAATTTCATAAGGGCAATTAGAGAACAACATACCTGATTTAAATGTGAAATTTCAAATACCACATATACTGACAGTGCGTTGAAGTGGCATACCCTGTCTTTAAATGATAGTTTTATTTTTCTGTAGAATGTAAATCATTAGTGTTTCACATATTTTATTCATATTTTTTATTCAGTAAACTAAAACATTGCTGCTTTTTTATATCTTATAAATATGTCTTGTTTAATAATGTCTTTGAAAGCATATTTCTGTTTATTCAATCAGTATTTAATACAGCTGACACAATAAATACAACTTTTTGTGTAAAATACGAAGCCCCTTATATTAATCCAAAGATGATCTTTACACAAGAGAAACATTTTATTTTATTTTTTAATGACAATTATCAAGTAATCATTGATAAGATCAATCAACTTTAGATAAATTCAGTCATTCATAACTTGCTTCTCTATTTTTTTAATCAACCTGGCTATCAGAAATACTTAAATGTCCACAACATCACATCTTTGTTTTTTCATGTTTTGATTTTAATTAAAGAAATAAGTATTTTGTGAAACGCAAGGAAAAAAGGGGTGGGTTTCCTTTAGTGGGAGACGGGTAAACTGCACCGTCTTTAGTGGTTTTAAACTGGTGCTCTTTGAAACTGGGATATTTAGTTACCAAAAACCAGCTAATATCTTATCATGAAAATTATGTTAAATAATGTATACATGTTAAGCTGGGAGACTTTCAAAAAATGTGTAGATTCAACAACACTGAAAGCTTTTTTTGCTAAACCAGCAGGCCACTTCCTTTCCTCCTCAGATGGGCTATTTGTGCCAAACACCAGTCAGGATTCAGTGTGTATAAAGTGATTCCTGCTTAACCTCCTTGTATTTTCCAACAGATCATGTGCAGAATGAAGAAAACTATGCCCAGGCTCTGGATAAGTTTGGTAGCAACTTCATCAGCAGAGACAACCCTGATCTGGGGACAGCTTTTGTCAAGTTCTCCTCCCTTACCAAGGAGCTGTCTGCCCTGCTGAAGAACCTGGTGAGTCCAGCTTTTCAACGTCCCTTTTCAAAACAATAATTTAGAGTAGACCTCTTTTTCTTTTTTCTTTTTTTTTATATGTCTGCCCTGGAGGTTGGTTTCAACCTCATAACTATAGCAGTAGGAAACATGTTGTCACACAGCTTGCTTTTCTTGCCTGTCCCTGCACAGAGTGGTTAGGATGTCAGTTTAGGTCTCTGATTTTCAAGGGTCACTGGTGGGTTAAATACAGGTTTCTACAGCAGACTGAGACATTCTTCTCATTTTCTAAACTTTTCAAAATTGTATAAAAGTCTCCCACATGAGCTGGCATGGCTGACTGGCTGCTGCATAAGTAATTCATTTTCCTCTTGTAATCCTTAAAAACATCCTTGCCTTTTTTCAAGGTTCCATATTTTTCTTAAACTGTTGGTTTTCTTCATTTTCTACAATAAAAAAATGAATTAATGAGATGGTTTTATACAGAAAACGCATCGTAAAATAACTGGATTTTAACAGGCACATTTTGGTTTAGAAGGTGGCAGATTGTATTTTGAAAAACTTGATTTTAGCCAATTCTTTTTGATATACAGTAGTGTGTATGTAGAGATATCGCACTATCAATCTATTTGTCGATAGCAGCCAGAAAAAAATGTCTAAGATTTGCCTCCTTGTTCCTAATTTTAGATAATTTACTTATATTAGAAAACCCGTAACTCAGTAACAGCTTCCACAGTGTTGTTTGTGTCACCTGTTAGTGGTTACGTATGTTTAATTTTGACTTTCTGAGCAACCGGTCACTGTTTTAGTAACCATTGGATGTTTTGGTGAATCTCTGTTTAGTTACTATCAGCTTAAAATACAGACAATTTTTGTTCATATATGTTCAAGATTCCTATATAAGCTCAATTTGAGTCTTTCATATAAGTTGTATTCAACTTGTTGAAGATAAGTAATAAATAGGTAACATTATTGCATAAGATAAGCTTTAAACATATAATTCGGATTAATGTTGGTTTAAAAATAAAGCTCTCTTATTTTGTTGTAATAAAGAGACTAATAAAGGGATTAATGTCACCCTGTAAGGTTTGGTATTTGAAGCAGGTGCGGCGGTTTATGCAAGAAGAGTATGGGGTTACATGTTTTTTGTATAGTTGCTTAAACTGCTTTGGATGAAAACTGCTCCTTTAAGAATACAGAAATTATTTTCTTTTTATATGAGTCCTTAGAATCAGTATAATGCACGGTTCAACCAGGTTTACCAGGTGCAACTGTACAAACTTCAATTAGCAGATAAAGCCCTGTTTTATTGATAAGCTAAATTCATCTAATATAAAGTGGTCAGGTCTTATCTTTATGCTTTTATAAGGTTTTCACATACTGTTAATCCTATTTTTCAGACCTCATTTTTTGCCATCTTGTCATCGACTTTGCTTAAAGGTATAGTGGAGGATCAAAATTAGTGGTCTTCCTAATTGTCAATCATGCTGGTGTTTACGTAAGGCCATCCAAAGTGATTGTCCCATTTACAGGTGGTGAGTCTGACATAAAGGAAAAATAGCAAATCCTCTTTCGGAAAGTAAGCTTGTATGAGAGATGCAAAAAGCAAGTTTTAAACAGAGCGTGCACGAGGTGAAATGGACTTGTGCATGCTCTCGCACACATTTTATAAGGGTCCCCTCTCAGGAGTGGGTACAGGGTTGTGCATGTGCATTGTTTTCAATGGAGAGGTTGGGTCTTTTCAAAAATTTCCGAAAATTCTCCATTATACCTTTAAATTTAGCTACAGATTTAGGAACAAGCTGTGATGGACAGGTGAAATTCTGGAGAGAAAATTATTGTGGTTGTGGTTTGAGGACCCAAATGCAGAGGCAGGGATGCAGAGGTGAGTTTCTTGTAGATTTAATGAAGGGTTAACAGACAACTGAGGCAGGAATCCAAAAATCAAACATGTAAAAAGTGAAACCAGAAACCATGGAGACTTCAGGGGGGAAAAAATCACAACGAGAATGACACAGTAAGACATGGTTGGAGGAAGTTAGACGAGGAGCCAGAACTGAGGAACTGCACAAGGAGAGTATTTATGGGAGAATGAAACAAAGAGAGGACTAACGAGCAGATTGGGAGCAGGTGTGAAGAGAGCAGGAGGTGTCAAGGAGCTAGGGAAAAAGGAGACCAACACAAGAGGGCAACAGATAAAAACCTGAGAACTGAAATATAACCAGAAAACACAAAAAAATAAGAATTAAACCAATAAAACTAGAAAACATGAAGTAAAGTAAAACTCAAAAGAACACATAACAGAACCAAGAATGTGGCACGTCAGAGGTTTAGACCTGGAGGAGTGTTTGGTTGCAGTGCAATTTTAAAACATGGCCTAACTTTGTTCTTTTAAAATAAACACAGTGGAAAACTTTGCCAGAGAATTGTACCCTTAGACGCTTATTATCTTCCTGCCATGGATTTCCCTCAGTTCCTGTTAAATAACGTGTCCTGTTTAAATCCTCTGTGAGCGATTGCTGCTGGAAGAAGAGCCAGATCCCGGCCTTTCCTTCCCTTCTCTTCCCGTGTGGCTGACAGCGAGATTAGACAACATAAATACACTTGGCAGCAGCAGGGAACAGCTGAGTGTGTCTTTGTTACCCAAACCAAATGCCGCTGTCTGTGAACCAGCGTATTGTGGAAAAGTGAACGGATCTCTCTCAATCGCCCTCTAAGTTAAACTTATCTGCAGCAGTGTATCGAGTTATCAGCCCTCGATAGCTGCACCCTGAGGGCAGCTGGTACGACAAATGAGTATCGACGACCAAGAGCATGTCCTGGATGTGTCCCCGGGTTTACACTAACTCATTTAACCAGTTTCCCTGCATCATCTTGTCTTTGTATTTCCAAGAATTGTGTGGTTAGAAGAGAAAAGCCTTTGTGACAGTTAACAAGAGGAGCTGGAAGAGCTCGTCAGCAGCCGGTCGGTGAAGGATTGATTTTGATGTTGGCCATATGCAAGACAGGCACTTAAGGAGCACATTAGTGCCCATTAGTGCTTGTTTACTTCCTTCAGCGTGGCTGCTGTATCAGAGTGGACTTGGCTAACAACTACAGGGTCTTAAATGCATAGTAGTCATGTAAATGACCTCTATGGAGCCGCTGAGCAAAGCTGCAGCAACAAAAGCTGCAGGACGAATCATGTCTTTCCCGCCTCTCCAAAGGCTTTAGCAGATATGGTTAAAAAAATAAAGCTGGTGTTTCATAAAGATAAGAAGCGACTCACCTTTCCTCTTGTCAAGGTTGAAAAACTTAAATGGTGAAGAGACTTTCTGAATTGAGCAAACCCCCTCTGAACTAATGGCTGAATTTTTCATTTTGTGTGCTCTAGCATATATCCAGTCGTTTTTTGTTTTTTTTTAAGTCTGTTTTATGTACGATAGAAAATGTATTTTGCATAAAACACCCTTGAGCATCTCTGCTCTTATTTATAAAGCTTCATTTTCCGATAAACTGAACAGGAGGTTGGTCCATCTAAGGTCCTGTATTAATTTAGGGGAAGGACGATAGAATATATTAGCTGCCATACATTATACACAATTACTTAACCAGCATACTACTCTTAGACCTTCAAGGTGTGCAAGCAGTCAGATGTCCATTTTTTAAGTTGGTCCTCTACATATTTTTTAATTCTCAGTATTGCTGGTTGAATTAAACACTGAAATAGACTAAGGCGCAATCCCAATACATCCCCTACTTTAAACGACTACTCATCACCCAGTGACCACACACCCTGGAGTTGAAGCCAAAACGGTTAAGGCTTCATTATCTTCTAGGAATTAGGACACCCCTCGCTACATAGTCGATGTTTGGGTACGTGTCCGACTTTACATTTACTTATGCACAAGATACTGTAAGTTGCACCATGAAAAAAGACAAAGCTTTTTTGAAAAAACAAAAACAAATATTGAAGATGAAATTGTAGGAAAGAGGATTAAGCTGAGCTTGGTTATCTATCCTTTTCGTTTATCAGGTATTACTCTTGAGTGATTATTAAACTTAGTTAAGCAATTTTTGTGCAATAAATACGCAAATTACTAAAGCATAGGACGAAATTACACATTGCCATGCTATTTTTTTCCCATCAAAATGAAAGACAGAGAAAATATTGTTGTTGGTGGCTTTTGAAAAAAACAGAAAGACTGTTTCATTGTCCTACCTCCAGTGCAGACGCCGGCCAGCTGATGCCTTCTCTCCCCCACTCTAGTTGGGCGGCAGGCTGCGCAGATCCTACGATGTGCTCCTTCCGTTGTTCTATGACTTACCAAATCTCATACTGCTCTCCTTCGTTCTTCAGTAGTTAGCCTCCATAGCTAGCCCCAGCCAGCTGTAGTCCCTCCCCAATGGCGTTGTTTCCCCAGTGGGCTTCTCCGATCTCCAGCTGTGCTTCTCCACTTTCTTCCTGAGCTAGCACCGGCAAGCTGCTGCCATCTCTACTTGCTCTGGCGTGCTGTTTCCTTGGCGGGCTCCTCCGATCTCCCACCGTGCTTCCTTAACTCCAGAGGGGGGGCGCTTGGGCAGCCTCTTTCCACGTCTGGAGCTCTTTCTGAATGTGTTTTTATACTTATTTCCTGCTTCTCCTGTCTTTGCTCCAAAATACTTAGGCCCCGTCCACACGAAGCCAAACCCTGGCCTAAACGCACAAATTTTTCACCAAACCAGCCTCTCATCCACACGAAGCCGGCGTTTCGGGGGTCTGTAAACAATCTTTTTTTTATTTAGCCTTCAGAGTGGGAAGATTTTGAAACGCCGTTTTCGAGTTTCCATCTTTAAGCTCTAACCGCATTTTTTTTTACACGCATGCGTCATAGCGTTGCCTCTAAACACGCATGCGCGACACAGTATCACAACAACAATGGCGCCGTACTGTGTTGAATGGTTGCTGCTCATGCTGCTCACCCTGCTGTCGGGCTTACAACAGAATCTTCTTCTGGAATATCTCCAGGAAGAACAGAGCAATATCGACGACATAGTTCAACACCCGAATTTGACTGAACCACGAAAATGGACCCGCAGGGCAACCATGTATAAATATTGGTGCGCATGCCCAACATTTCGTCGCCTATTTTTGCTTTGGCACCACAGCGCCACTTACAGGCCTGGCATACATTTTGCAGCGTTTTCATGCATTCGTGTGGACGATCACATTTATTTTACGTCTCCATCTTTATGACAAACGTTCTGGAAAATATTAGCGTTTCGTGTTCGTTTTGACTTCGTGTGGACGGGGCCTTAATCTCTGTTGTCTGGGAGAATCAGGTGAACCTAGAACGCCCATGCCAATGGCTTTGTTTGGCTTTCAAAAGTAAAAAGATAAACAACAACAAAATCTCACGTCATCCATGCTTTCTGTGAAACTGTCTCCACCCCTTCCCTAGCAAGTCAGCATCTGAAATTCCTTGTTTTATTAATATATAAAATATTAACTTCTGATAGTGTTGCTAAAATTACAATAACTTTCTCCCCACATATAACATTAGCAACACTAACTACAGCAACTATAACACTACATAAAAACACAGCTGGTGTTTTGAAATACCTGAATGAATTATGACTAAATATTTTACAGATCTGGACAGGTACGGAAAATCTTCAATTATTAGACTCTTTTTGTACAGTACAATTTCCGAGGTTCGTATCCATCCAATCAACCAACACTTCTTGGTGTAGTAATGTCTGTAAAGCTACAAAATACCATCAATAATGTGCTTAAAAATACAAATCTACTTGTTTAAAAATGAGTGTTACCACCAGCCATGAGCCTTTGCTCTGTTCAGCAAATTGCTAAGTTCTTGTGTGTGTGTGTGTGTGTGTGTGTGTGTGTGGGCGGCAGCTTCATCCATCTGGCGTCTTTGGCAATTTTGGAGTCATTTCATTTATTTTTTCTTTTTGTTTTGTAGCTCATTGTGTTTTAATCTCTCTGCTGTTAAGAGGAGTAAACATTTAACAGACTCTCATCAGTTGTCTGTCTATTAGTCTTTGTCATTATGTGAAAAGTTCCAGCAGAGAAAAGAAAAAAAACAGAAATCACTTAATGCTCGTCTAGTTTTTAAACATCAGACGAGGAGGACGAGTTTCATTTCATTTCCATGTTTCTTTCTTATTTATGTTCCAAATTAAATTACAGCGCCTGCTCATTTATCATGTTCTGTAGAAACATTCTGTTTATTAGACAGAGTCATTGTTTTGTCTTCAAGAGAATCTATCAACCATTTGCTTCTGGCGCACTGTAGGAACACATCAGCTGTTTCCTATAGTTGTTGAAACCTTTTTTTTTTCTTGCAGCTCCAGAGCCTCAGCCACAATGTGATCTTCACCCTGGACTCGCTGCTCAAGGGGGATTTGAAAGGCGTGAAAGGGGTAAGATTCACAGTCTTACTGGACTCTGCATCGTCAGCATGTCTATATCCATCTGAAACCCCCCCCTGCCTGTGATTAAGTGGAAAGACCGGGGGAGAAAGAAGAGGAATTTTCCTTTGAAACCGTAAATCTGGCAGATGTAAACACTGCCTTTGTGTGGTGTATAAAGAGAGTAAGTGGGTCATGAACTCCTCATGTTGGAGGTTAAAGAAGAGGCGTTGTCTTCACTGGGCAATCAGGCTGTGAATCATGAGTAAAATGTTTTCAAACTCCACAAATATCTCAGTCCTCAAACTGACCTCATTGGACTTTACTGAATCTAGTCCTTCTGCGTCTGCAGGACTTAAAGAAGCCCTTCGACAAAGCGTGGAAGGACTACGAGGCCAAGTTGTAAGTCGATGAAGCTGTACTGTACCAGCTTCCTAGTTTGTCCTGATTAGAATCAGAGGTGACTTTTTCCTTTGTTTTGTTTCAGTACAAAGATAGAGAAGGAGAAGCGGGAGCACGCCAAGCAGCATGGGATGATCCGCACCGAGATCACCGGGGCTGAGATCGCAGAGGAGATGGAGAAGGAGCGCCGCCTGTTCCAGCTGCAGATGTGTGAGGTGAGTCGTTTTATATTTTGACTTACACTGATTTCACAAAAGGGAATGAAAATAAAAGTTTTTAGGTATTTTTTTCCCCAGTGTTGCTTATTTAGATTCTTCCCAAGGAAAATCCAGCTTTGAGCCTATAGAGTAAGACTGGAAGTCATCAAGCAGAACAATTTGTTCAAACACTCTGTTTCTGCTGCCTTAACGCTTCTTTTTCAGCTTAATTTTAAAGACTTTGAACGCAACTGTCTATTACACTGAATCGTCTTTGTAGAGACGTACGGATGGACGGATATTTCTTTGCTTAAAAGCTTAGAAATGGACCAACCAATGGGAGTTGCTACTCAGGAAAAGTTTCCTTATGCTTAAAACAATCTGATGGTCGAATACGTTCCATCAGGTTTTTAAGCCAGAGCATAAGTCCTGGTTCCATCCATCACAGTAGGTCCTGAAGCATCAAAGTAGTCCCAGACCACCACACTACCACCACCATCTTTAACTGAATACATGTTGATCTCTATTTTACAACATTGGTAGAAGTTAGTGGCCTTCTGAAGCTTCACCACATTCTATGTTTTCTTTAGTTTTCGGATAATGGTTCTCTGTTTTGTTAGCTGGAGACTCAAAACCTTAGAAATGTATCTCTACCCTCTGATGGATGTCCCTGACTTTGTTTCTCATCTGTTCCTCCGTTCTCCTCACTTACTTGATCCCTCGATTATTCAGGTCCAACACCAATCAGTGTGGAGGTGGCTAGTAAAACATAAACACCTGTTTTTAATCCGTTAAGTCATAATTTAACAAGGGTTCAGCTACATTTCATCACAGGGGCAGCTTGTTTGGATGGCTGCTTCCCCCTCAGTGAATCAAGTTGTTATTGGAAAACTGCCTCTTGCATTCACTCAGTTTAATTTACTCTGATATTAAAATGTGTGATTCTACTTTTTATGGCCCTGCGTTTATATACGACCTAAAACGATGTGTAATTACTGAGAGGGGTTTATTAAATGATACACATGTTCCAGCCTTAAGCTGTGAGGTGTTGCTGCTGAATCTTAAAAGGAAATTGTTCTGAGAAAAGTCAGATATTTATGGTTTAAATCAAAGTTTTGTTCTCTAAGAGTTTTTAAACTTTCTCTTAATCCTTTTTTTTCTTAATCTAGCCTCTATGTTTCACAAAGGGCAAACATTTGAGAAACCTGGCAACAAAAAGTAAAGCCTAAAACAAAAGTGAGCTCTGTGTTTGTGCCCAGAAGAATTAGAACAAACTGTTTGAGCTCTCTCTGTTAGGCCAAAATCCTCCCTGGCCGTGGGCGGCGGCGCCTACGCCTCGCTCACTCTCTATTTTATTCTGCTAGAATTTTTTCTTTTTCTTAGATTACATAATGCCGCTCGCTTTGCTTTCTGGCTTTTCTGGATTAGCTTTGTGCAAAGTCCAGCAGACAGGCCCTCTTCTCTTTCCCTCTCCTGCATTTTCCACCTGTTTCCACAAAGATGAAGTTGAATCTCATTATCCATAATGCTTTCCAGTAACTCTAGACAGCATCTCAGTGAGGCTGAAAGACTCATCCTTTTTATAATTGACAACACATTGAATATCAAAAGCTTTTTAAAAGTGATCTGCAGTGCATTTTCTAAAACAACATTAAAAGTCAGGCTGGAAGGGAAAATTTGCATGCCTTATTTTGAAGGGGGTATAAGTTGCAAACAATACGGCTTGTTTTTGACAACTGAGGGTCAGTGATTGTAAAACTAGCGGTGAATCAACGCTCTCACATTAAGGATACTTTGAGTGTTATAACTTTTAAAAGTCTTGCATCATTTTCGAGCTAACAGTTAAATGCACGGAGCTTGTCTCTTCACACATCAGGCTTTTAAAATTCATCTGACACCTTCTAGTCGCCTAACAGACTTGTTAAAACACATCCACTTTTGAAAGAGCGTAGTTGGTGGGCTATTTTTAGCTTTTACTTCTCTAGCTAATGCTTTAAAGTATCCATCTCTGTTGATTTCAGCACATGATTTCAGCTTTTCATTCATTTTTGCTGTGATTTGAAGCTTTAAAAATGTCAGAATTCATCAGAATTGTTGGCTAAAAGTCCAACATAGTGAGGCTCTCTGTTTGCCTGCTGTGCTTTGGCTCCTATCATTGTCTGAATGTGTGCAGCAGCTATGAAACCCCATCAGCTGCTGCATTTTACAGTTTAGCGGCCCGCCTCCGGTTGGAGCTGGATGCCAGCGACAAGTTGTAGCACCCACATCATTATCACCGCCTTCCTCTTTTGTTGGCTTCCTTGGCTCTAGATTTGGTTTGAAATGAATTACAGTTTGTTGGCTTTTTATGAATTCGTGACTATTTTCTGTCATTGTGGCTTAAAGAGGTAAAAGGAAAACAGAACTGGGTTGCATTAGATAAATAAAGTGAGTTTAAGGGCTCACATGGTAAGGATGTGTAAACAACTCATCTTTAATTTCAGTGGTCTTCAGCTGTGAAATTAGATGCAGTTTGCAGCTGACCCACAGCATCACAACTCCATTGAACTCAACAGTGGGCATGAGGTGCTCTTTCCCATTATCATCTTTTATTTTACAACTGACAGTCAAGGATTTTCTTTCCCTAAAAAAAAGCTAGAGGTAGTAAAACTCCAGACGTTTAGGTCTGTGTTTGTAGGATAGAATCATCTTTCTCCCAAATGTCTGTTCGATATATATCGACATCATCTAATGGGATTAATGGAGGCCTGGTGAGCTCCATGATCCCCCTCCTTTGGCAGCAGTTCCTTAACAATGAGCTTTGTAGATCATTTTCTTCCTTCCTTATCACTCCTCCCCAAGCCTCATTCTTCACACCTCCAGTTGATTAAACTGTTTTGATTGTGAATATTGCTCTAATAGCTGGTGTCAGTGGATAGATATTTTCTTCTAGCCATTTTCTGTTTTTCTTTAATTGCACGCTCTTATTTTGAAGAGTGGCTCAATTAAATGGGATTTCTTATCATATTGTGTTTATAGTTGACTGAAAAAGTTAAACACAGCTAACTAGTTTCGGTATTTCCTAGTAATTTATTAGGTGTTTCTGTCTTATGGGTCTGCAACTTTTCTCCAAGCAAACAGCCAATTTGCTCTCAGTTCAGCTTAATTCAAATAATTTGGGATTAAAAAAAAAAAAAATCTACTACATTGAATTTGCTTTCATTAAAAATAATTGTATTTGTTTTGTTTTCCTTCAAAGGAAATTGAAAATAAAATACAATTAGAGTTTTTACATAGTCTAAATAAAAAATTAAGTAGAAATTAACCAAAGTATTAATGACATAAATGCTTTCTTAAGAAAATAAGTGACCAACAAATCCCTCTCTCCAGTGATTTATTAGCTTATTTTAAACTAGATATATACCTAATTAGATTATTTTAGTCTCCATAGATTAAAACGATGTTTTGTATTAATAGTGTGGATGTTACATTTTGTTGAGTTGGGGTTAACATGTTTTATTAAGGGTTTATTCTGGGATTTCTTTGAAGCTAAAGCATGTAAGTAATGCTGTACTGAGGCTTTTAATCATACATATCCATCCCTCCATTCATCCATCCATCCATCCATCCATCCATCCATCCATCCATCCATCCATCCATCCATCCATCCATCCATCCATCCATCTTCCTCCGCTTATCCGGGGTCGGGTCGTGGGGGCAGCAGCTTAAGAAGGGAGGCCCAGACTTCCCTCTCCCCAGCCACTTCTTCTAGTCCCTCAGGAGGAACCCCAAGGTGTTCCCAGGCCAGCCAAGAAACATAGTCTCTCCAGCGTGTCCTGGGCCTCCCCCCGGTGGGACGTGCCCGGAACACCTCACCAGGGAGGCATCCAGGAGGCATCCTAACCAGATGCCCGAGCCACCTCAACTGGCTCCTCTCGACGTGGAGGAGCAGCGGCTCTACTCCGAGTCCTTCCTGGATGACCGAGCTTCTCACCCTATCTCTAAGGGAGAGCCCAGCCAC